GCTTTTATGTTTCTTCAGCTATGTATGTTCATAAGAAGTCCATTCAGAAATTTGAAAAGCTTTTTAGTCTTTCTCTGTTCGATAGCCGATAGTCGAAAGAATGCAGTGCTCAAGCACAGGTGGTAACAACCTCGACTGTGAGTTTCTGATCGCGGAAATCAAGAAGTTCAGCGGTAACATCGAAGTCCTTCGACACTTGGTTGTTGTAGTCTTCGTGAAGGGTAGCAGCTGAAAACTGACAATCAATGTAAAATGCTTGGAAATGCTGACCGTCCTTCAAAATGTCAATGTTTCAACACAAGTAACAACAGTAGGAACAAAACGGAAGGCCTCAACCCACGAAAGGAAAATCGTAAAGAGGATGAAGGCAGAGAATTCTAATGCCAATGCCTCGAAACTCTGCTATTTCTCCCTTGCTTCATTTTACATTCCCATGCAATTTGGGAGAAATCCAACGCGAAACGTCCCAGAGCCAGACTTAGGAAGATCATCATGATGCTTTTTCCTCAACTAATCCCTGAGTCATCCTTTTTCGAGCACGATGGCGCTACAGCGCATATCCCAGCGGGAGTGAGTGTCCATGGACTTTTTGGTAGTTGTGAATGCTGCAGCGGTCTGAACAGAACAAGATTCTCACAAGTACGACCCCCCCCCCTCCAAGACTCCTGCTCTGGTATAACCCCCTACAGCCCTAGCTACTATTTCCCTAGGTTGGCAACATGTAAACGGTAAAAATCGCAAAAAGTCGAATTTTCCCCTCGACGGAAAAATTTTCTGAAGGCCAGGTGTGACCTTCATGTTCAAAGCACGAGCGAGAATTACCCCTCCCTTACAATGGCAGTCTTCCATCCTTGTGGAAACGCGAGAATTATCAAGGAAATTTACTTGAACCCCTCCTCCGCCCCAAGCATTAAACCAAACCTCCCCTACCACTTCCAACGCGTCCCCATCCCGTGGAGGCGTGCTCTGGCATCGGTGCATAGTTGCAGTCCAGGCGAACAGACAGATAGCGTTTCCATAAGAGAGCGCAGACGTGGACGAGAAAACAATGACGCACTTCCCGCCCCTTCGTCCTAAATGAACCCATGCCCACAGAGGCACTCATCTTCCCTCACATGGAGTGGGCGTGGCTACGCGCTCCATCCGATCGTGGCGTAGAGTGAATTTCTCAGTTTCTCATTGCTTTTGGAGACCAACTGTTCCTCTGTCTCACCTCGAACAAAGATATGATTACAGTTATCCTAGAAAGAATGTTCCAATAGAAAGCGCACCCACCGCCACGTTCAAATGAAGTACGCATTTGCATCCTCCCCATCTCGGGGATGAGGCCACGCTCACACCTAGTTCCATTGACTAAACCCTCTTACGACGCGATATTGACTGCAACTTTGCAACGAGTATTTACACACATTATTTAGACCAAAGGAAGCCAAACAACTAAGATGTGTCTTACAGTAACTTTTACAAAATTGAACAAATTTGCGATAATTTTCTTACAATTGGCGAGGTAGAATCTCGTCGCTACGGACATGAGAACTCCATCGGCAGCAGCCAATTTGCGAATCAGTTCCGGCACGTCATTTTCAGATGCTGTAAAGTAATATATTAGAGCTGTATTTTTCGAAGCAGTATAGTCAATTTAACAACTTAAGGTCGGTCTCGCACCATGTATCATTTTTTGATAATTTTTGAATCGGAATGACCTTAGGGGTGTGAAAGAGTCATGGCGTTATTCTGATCGAAAATGCTCGCAACAGTCAGAGAGGAGGGCCCAATCAAGTGCAATAAGAGATGCACTGTGCTCGTCATAGAAAATAGTAAACAGAGGAGTTAAGGCTCCAAGTTCGTGCCGACTGAAGGATTCTCAACCAGGGCATGATGACCATTGCAACGAGGTTAAAGGAAATTTCCAGCGACATTTCGAACAAATTGTTCTACGAGAGAACAAAGCATATTTCAGACGTTTCGAACCCTGATAACCGTAGGGTGTTCTGAAATTTCAGTAGACGGGTGCCTGAATTCATGCAAACTGATGAGCTCAACGGTTCCTTTTGTCTCTTTCCCCACCCATTTTAGTATTATACAGTAACGATATTTGTTTTATATAGCCAGGGCAGCCAGTGTGCAGGAGTCAATGAGATCTCACCTGCTCCATATTCCGGAAGAATATTGTTGCACATGTCACAGTGTCTTGTTGGTATCATCGCTTGTGAGCTGGAGATACCTCATTAAAGTTGGGTACTATTTTGGCCGAACACCGGGAAGAAATGGTGCCTGGTCACTAATAGTAAGTAAGCTCCATAGGCGCGACCACTAGCAATCCAAGTACAACGCCGGGCTGCTAACCACATGGGGTTAGACAGCCACTAACCGGCTCCATCTGTGGAACATTTCACGATGACACCTCACGGCCTCAGGCAGCGCTTCATGCACTTGCAGATGCAGTACGCTTCGCGCCGCTCAGTTCGACCGCGAATCGATGCCAGTCGAATAATAACGCTTATCGATGCGCGTCGAAGCAAATGAACCGAAAGCGCTGCGTCGCGAATCTGAAGGCGGCTTTACGCTCCTGTCTTGTCGAGAACTAACATAAGAGAACGTCTTCCCTTTTCTTCGTTCAGTTTACAGAGCTCGCAGAGTATAGTGTCATAGAGCGAAACTGGCCTTTATGTACCACCTCCTAGTCTCCACAATACTGTTCCAGGGAGGAAAGCCAACTCTAAGTCAAAATGAGGTATCAATAAAAAAATAGCTCCATCACAGTGTTTCTATTCGGTGGAATATGGATATTAACCGGAATGCTGTTCCTAGTAACAGAACTATAATCCTAATTACTCGGCGGAAGGACGCGTGCCGACTTCACATATGTGTGGTGCCACTTCATATCTGATAAGCCCCAAATCGGTCCCTGCTCGACGACAACCGTATCAATGGCAAGGGTGGGACGCCATATTGAATAATCGGATGAATCACTCTTCATTCGCTGTTGGCAACACACACCTAGGATTCCGAAACAATCAGCACGACAAGAACAAATAGGGCCGACTCGAAGACAAATATAAGCTCTTAAAGGAAGCTGTGGGGCCCAACAGAAGGCCACGACTGTGGAGCAAGATTGGTAATGTACTCATTGATAGATTACCTATTTATTTAGGAATGTTGAGCAGATAATTTATCCAACTCAAGGTTGGAGTCTTCCCCCAAGTTCAATAACTATACTGCCTCCGGTATAGTTTAGGCGAGAAAATTAAGCTTTCTTCTCCTCACAGAGTCATTCTTAGACGCAAATTTGTCGAAACGAGTATTTCACCAACCGGTAACAAAGGATTCAAGGCGCTTTGGATCACTTCACTCATTGGAATCCAACACTGATTAGAACAATATACACTCATTACGCACGCTAATGCCCACATGAATATAGTTTTGGTGATTTTTCTAACCTTCCCAAATTATTCCCAAGATAAGCAATTTCATTAGGCCTAGGTTTTGGCGTCTTCGCCTTCGTCAGGCCTCGATCTCACCTCGTGATGTGAGGACGACCACACGGTGGATCTCCACACGGAATGCCTACACGGTGTAACCTATCACAGAGCATGCCGCAGTAACATTCTGCTCACCTCCCTGTTTCGTTTGTGACCATTAGATCATATTGACTAACGATAGGTTACCCGTACTGCTTTCAGTATATCAGCTGAAGAGAATAAACATATTCTTACTTCTCTTGAGAGCATCATTGATTTGACTTTTCGTGGAACCGCCGGCTCCTCTTTCGAGAACGGAAAGTGCAGCCACCATAGACAGTGGAGACATCACCACACTCTCCTCTGGCGGCGTTCTTTTTAGCAGGTCAACAGCAAAATCGGCCATTATTTATCTGAAAATGCTATATGTAAGCAATCAGATCAGGAAGCAATCAGAAAAACTAGATGCGATGAGTAACATAGGATTGGCGCTGAAAATACAAATGGGGAGTGATACAATAGGAATGGAATGTCGGTTGCACTGTTTTGGATATGACGCCATGCTTTTATGGTGGAATGGCCACGATAAGGAGCACTATACTGCCGCATTTCAGCTGTGTGTCTGCTTTTAGCATTTGCTTTAGAAGCTGAGCCAACGATGGCCTGGATCCCTGTGGTCGAATATTCTGGAAAAAGGTTTAGGATTTTATCGCTATGGAATTTTTGACCTAAGATGTCCATTAATGTCGTTCGAGTCCGAGCGAGATACTTCATGGAATGAAATCAATAGATAAATGCCCCACAATACTCAAAGTTGAAGAACACCTGGCCCTGTGCACACTTTTTCGATTCCACGGTTATTCCTGTTCTAATGTATGCCTCAGAGACTTGGACTCTGCGAAAGCAGGATGAACATGCGGTCGGTGTTATTCAACGCGCCATCGAAAGGGCGATGCTCGGAGTTTCCCGCTACACGCAAGAAAGAGGGGACTCGGGAGCTCCGCATGTCGACGATCAAAGATCAGGAGGCAGCCGCATTTGCCAAGGTTTCAAAGATCAGGTGGGCTGGGCACGTCATGCGTTCCGAAGACGACCGCTGGACCAGAGCGATTACCGACTGGATTCCACGGGATTGTCAAGCGAACACCTGGACGACCGCCTACGCGATGGTCAGACTTCTTTGTGAAAGCAGTTCTGACCATCGCGTGGGCCTCGTCCAAATGGTATGATGTCCTCACGTCCCTCGAACACAGAAAACCCACTGGGCAACTCTTAGCACGTTGCAGGGACGAATGGGACGTTAAGCGGCGCCCGCTCGAGCAACTTATGATCAGCTGGAATACAGGTGATATAGGTGATAGACCTGACTTCGCGTTGGTCATATGAGCCATATGTGGTCTACAACTCTGCCTTCCTCACTGGCGCGCTCCCTCTCCCCCTCTGTTTACTGCCTAGGAGCTTAGGAAAGGGAAAGCTCACCATTGAGAGAGCCGAAAGTTGAAAGTAGACCTAGCCTCGCCCATAGTGCCAGAACGGACTACGTGTTCACAAAGATTGTTAGAACTCAGGCTGATGTAGCGAATCGCGTTATTTTCAAGCATCTGTTCAAGTCATGCTCACTTGCAGGGGAAAATTGCATGCGTGGTGCACTCGAGAGAGAATTGACAAAGACGGTATTCCCGGACGACAGCGGTGGAGTGAACTAAGCTGCCCTTTGTCGACCACTGATTTGCTGATTAAAAGCCCCTCTTATCTCTGCAGCTGCATCAGCAAAAAAAATGCAGTTGCAAAAGATGACGATGTAAGAATTACTCGACGAAGGACTGGAGCATGGAGTAGGGCAGCCGCACGTACAGTGTAGTTCGCGAATCGATTTGGTTGTGAGTAAAAGAGGTTGCCAGGCATTGTGCCGGGTGTAAAACTAAGGCTGGCTGTTCACCATTAGCAACCACCACCAGGAGCGATTCACATTCCCCTAAAAACCTGTATATTCGACGTCCCACCAAAAAACTGTAGGCGGATACTCGTGTATGTTGCCTTCTTTCTGATCGTGTCTTGATCATTGACCAATGACTGAACGATGTAAGACCGAACGATGTAAAAAAAAATGTAGTAACAATGTGAAACTCCAAAAAATTTATTCCAAAAAACTCAAAAGACACCAAAAGTCTTGAAAGTTTTTTAAAATATATCTTATCTTGCATTTCGGTGCATAGCACCTTCGTCAGGCCTGAGATTATTTAGCTTGTTTTCGCTTGGATATGCACCTTAGGTGTTACCTACGCATAAGGTTAATGTGCATATCTAAGTGGAAACAGGATAAATATATAATTTCAGGCCTGACGAAGTTGCTCACGC